GGCTAAACAATGTAACTTAAGTCAGCATATACTGCACATGGTAGTTGGTAGTTGGTTGGTAACCTGACTTGAAATATTGTAGCTTAGACGATACATCATTAAACTTTTATAATGAGATATGAGGCTAAATTTAGTTATGTTAAAGATAAATTTCAAAAGCTATTGCTCACATGCCTCTCCTACACAGTCTCTGTAAATCTTTAGCAAGGCACACTATTTATACCACTGGCACACATTCCTGTGCATAGGGCGGTTTACCCCACGTGAGTATGTACAAACTGTCTGTATTCTGACATCTGCCAAGAAGCAATTGTAGGATGCAGACACACAGAAGGGCCTGGCTGGTTCTGTTTTCTCAGAAAGCCATGTGAATGTGGAAATATCCAGTGAAATCATGAATATTCAGCAAAACCTTCTCCAATACAGAATTCTCCTCCTTTCTTTCCTCCTTCCTTCCTTCCTCCCTTCCTTCCTTCTTTCCTTCCTTCTTTCCTTCCTCCCTCTTTCCCTCCCTCCCTCCTCCTTCTCTCTCACACACTGGTCTTGTGGCTTGAACTCAGGGCCTGGGTGCTGTCCCTGAGCTTTTCTTTTGCTCAAGGCTAGCTTTCTCCCATGTAAGGCATAGCTCCATTTCTGGCTTTTTGGAAGTTAATAAGAGATAAGAGTCTCATGGACTTTCCTTCCAGGGCTGACTTTGAACCCAGATCCTCAGATTTCAGTTTCCTGAGTAGCTAGGATTATATGCCCAAGCCAACCAGAGTCTCCTTTCTTTAACAAACAGCCATAATCACCTTGTTTTCTAAATCTTGGAAAGTCTGTGGAAGAAACAAAATCTCAGGAAAATGATTTGTCTAAGATCATCACACTAGTTAATGGCAGAGCCCGGAGTTTGAAAGGCAAGTATTCTCATACACAATCTAGAAATTACAATGGAAAAGGAAGGGCAGCCCGGAGACAGAGAATTCTGTGACTACAGTGTCACTCCTACTCATCCCTTGACTTGGCCCTTGGATTGAGCAAATTATGGTGACTGCAGCCTGGAGCCTTCATGTCTGCATTTGTAAACTCTCAGCAATACTTCAAAACAGTGCAAGCATTGTGCACAGAAAATACTGGAAAAGCACACTTGAAGCTGTCCACTTTGGCACTATGGTGAACTGGCCAGCCTACCTTAATGTTTTGAATACTTATGCATCTTTGACATTTTAGCACAGTGTGCCCAGGACAATGATGCTGGGTCAAGAGGTATGGCTCTTGTAAGCTCTTGATGTTAGCATCAGCACATTTCCACAAAATGGTCCTAGGATGGGCGCTGTACTGAGAACAGACAATTCTGCTACTCATTTACACCCACTGCCATGTACTGATGCTGAAAAACAACCCTCCCAATGATGCTTTGCTCATGTCATTCCTATTAAAATTACCAACATGCCCAGATAATCTAAATTTTCTAATGTGCAGGGGGTACTGCAAAGGCCAACATGAGAAATAAGGAGCAGGACCACACTGGTATCACTAATACATAATTTCTGGAGAGCAGGTAAGGGAGACAGTATAAACTGCTAGTATACAAGAAGGTTATCAAACAAAAGATAATTAAAGATGCCTTTAAACTGTGCACCTTATAAAAGTCTTTAAAAGAATGACTCCAAGGATGTCACTGACAATTTTTAGGAACCACTTTTACTACAGGAAAGTGCAGAGGTGTGTAGCGTGGGAGGAGCTCTGTGGGAAAACTCTCTTTCTGACTCTGGTGGCCTTTCCTTGTGTATGCTATGCCTCTCTATGCCTTTCCAGACAGAAGAAATCACACAGGACACCAAATCCCAGCAACCAGAGAGCAGAGATTCTCCTATGAGGGCTCAGCAGCTATGACAGGAACATGCCCACCCAAGCTTTCCTAGTTAACAGGTGAAACATCCACGGCTCTGCCCTAGTCTCCTAATGGGATATGTGTTTCCATTAGTAAAAGTTACATAAGGAAATATCTTCATATTCTCCTTTAATAGTAACAACTCTCAGGAAAATAGGATTTAAGGTTAATGAGAAAGATGAGTCAAATCTACTGTTGCACTATTATGGAGAAATTAGTTGTCTATAATTTATGAATTAAGCTTTAAAGTGTTTACCTAGAAGAAGTTCTTCAGCCTATCGTGCTCACTGGAATCTTGTTCATGTCCTGCACACTGACTAGAATACATCAAATCTAATAATTTAACATGCATTTTTAAACTCAGTAACCTATTTTTTTTCCTCCTACAATGACTCCATCTTCCAGGAAAGGAAGCAGGTTTTCTAATGGTGAATGCCTACACTTTTATTTTGATATTACTCATATTCTAATGGAATTATTAAGAAGATATTTTAGGAGCTGAGGTATAGTTTTGTAGTGGAGCCAGTACTTAGCATCCTCTGTGAGACCCTTGGTTCTATCTCTGGAACAAAAATCAAACCAAACCAAAGCACGACAAACACACTCATTTCTAATTATTAGGTGACCCCAAAGTGAACTGGTGTAGGCTGGAGAGGCAGGAGGATGTGCACAGGTGAAGTGAGCTAGGAAGGGTTCATTTGTTTGGGGCTCTTTTTCTTTTTGTTTTTGTTTGTTTTCCCCTCTGTTCCCATTGGCAGTACTAATATATGGCTTACTGCTTGCTGGGATAGAGCTCTACCACTTGAGCCACACCTCCAGCCAGACTTTTTGGTAGTTATTTTGGAGATGGGGGGGTCGTCTAAGGAACTTTTTTTTTTTTTTGGTCTCGTCTGGCCTCAAAAAGTGATCCTACAGTCTCTTGTGCAGTTTGGATTACAGGCATGAATTACAGGTGCCCATGAAAGGAAGGTTATTTCAGTTGTCTAAATCAATGTGTTTTATTATTTAAACTATTTAATTGCATTGGATGCTATCAAAGTGTGAGGCACAAGTTGATGCTACGATCTATGAATTCAATGCGGGATGATTGAATCAAGCTAATTAACATCTTCCTCACTTCATATACTTAGGTGTTTTTTTTTAAATAAAATCCTTTATCCAGCATGGCCCCCACAACCCGGAGAAGAGTGGGGTGACTGGGCAAAGAACATACAACTGTGTCATTCTCTACCTCTCTGTATCATTGAAATCCTCTGTAATATAAACCAACTTTGTTTCCAAAAAGACGAGAGGGGGAGGGGAAAGAGCGTTTTTTTGGGGGGGCGGGGAGGAAACACCAGATTAGTTACAGACTCAGCTTTGCCAAGAGCCCAGGTTTCTGGAGAAAGGGAGGAAGCAGAGAGAAAGGGACCCAGGTGGAGTGCACTTCCCTGCACATCCACAGGCCCTGCACCTGTGGTCTGAATTTCCTAAAAGACAGTCAACAACCGCAAGGCGTACTGCGTGCAATCCATCTGAAAATTCTGCTCCAGCTTCCCACTGTCCTCGCCAGAACCGACAGGCGGCTGCTGCTGCCACCACCTTGGAGTCTCATTTTCTCTGGGACCGCTGCAATCCGTTATCTCTTTGAAGACCACTTCCCCAAAAGGCACCTAAGCAGGCTGCCCAAGCAATGACACCTTAGCAAGGGAAAGTTGGCTTGCTCTGAGGTTTGTTCGGAGGCTAGTCACCCCCAGAGATTGCAGGTCTGCGCAACGCGCCACCTCTTCTCCATTTGGGTTCAGTCTTAACCTGCTGTCCTAAAGAAGGGGGGTCGACGGACACAAAGGCACGTGCGCTTGAGCCACTGCCTGATTCTAACTGGAAAGGGATACCAGCTCCACACAACCCCCTCCCTCCGAAATCCACGAAACCGTTGGTGTGTGTCTGCTGCACTGAACACCACGAAGTGTCTAGGGAAGGCGCAGGCATCCTGTCCCGACCAGCAGCGTAGAGCCTCCAGCGTACCTGAAGTCTGGGTACCGCTTGCCGGAGCATCTGCATGCAAGGAGACTCCACAGAAAATGAGGGCTACCAAAAGTCTCCTTCCTCTTGTTCCACAGGAAAACCAAAGGACCCCCTCCGGCCACCTGCCAAAAGCTCTGCTCCAGACACCCCACACTTAATTGGGGTCTTGCAGAAAGCGCACAGAGATCAAATCCTCTTCCCCAAAGTGTCCAGTTCCGCAGGTGACCGATTGCTGCCCTCCTCCCCGCTGCTCTGGGAGCTCAAGGGAAGGGGCAAGAATCACGCATAGGGACAAAGAACGAGACTAGAAATTGACACCCCAGCACCTGCCTCAAGGCGCATCTGCTAGCTCCTATCCCAGCACAGATCGGGTGGCTCCTAGGGCTGCAGGCTGTCGCTCTGCCAAAGACCAGACAGACAGCTTGCAAAAGGCGATGTTGCCCTGGCTGGCGGCGAAGGGCTCCCTGAAGTCCCGGCCTCAGCTCAGGCTGGGTAGGCACTTGGGATCCCCCATCCCGAACGCGCTTTCAGCCCCATCTCTCTTTTCCCCTCCGCTCCAAGTCCGCTTCCTTTCCCGCTCCCAGATGGACCTCCGTCCCCAGCTCCTTCTGCTTTCCCGCTCATCAGCCCAATTGGATGCTTCAGAATCCTTACAGGGGGGTCGCTGGAACCAGCCAAGCCAAAGCCCTTCACGATTCCTGTCCCCCCGCCCCCAACTCCACCAGGGTCCCGGACAGATCGGCTCCGCTGCACTTCCAGGACTGGAATTCATCAGCTCCCACAGACTTTGCGCAGCAAGCCCTCAGCGTCGCCAGGGTGCCCAAGGTGGCCAGGCGCCAGGGTGCAGCCCTGGCTGGAAGCACTCAGTGCTGGCCTGCGCATCTTCCGCACCAGGTCCTCTCTGCCCTCTCGCCTGGAGACCCCCACACACACCTTCCACGACCACACGGACTTACCGCGGGCGCCACGCCGCCGCCGGGTCTGCTTGCTCCCTGGCGGAGCCTGGAAGACCGCCCGCTCCAGGACAATCTCCGGCAGGCGCACGCCCGCTCACTCGCAACCCCCGCCACACCCCGCCAGACGGTCGGTCCGCCCTCGCCGCCGCCGGGGCGATCGGGACTTACCTCCCGGACAAGGTGACCCGGCTGGTGCGCTCAAGCGGCCGCCCGCGCGCCTCCGGATCTAGCGGGCGGGCGTGCGGGGCACGCGGGGCGGTGCGGCTCACGCCTCTGCTCTCCTCAGCTCCCCCCGCTCCTCTCCTCCCCTGCCCTCCCCTCCCCTCCGCCCCGCTGCGCGCTTCCCCCCCCCTCCACCGCTCCCCGCCCAGTGCTCGCCGCCAGCGCCCCCGGCTGCCCCGCGCTTACTGGAGCGCTCGGCAGTGGCGGCAGCTGCGCGGGCGGCGGGGAACCCAGACTGGAGGCGCCCGGACGCAGCTGAGTCCTTTCCCCCCCCACCACCCCCCTCCCGGGGAAAAAGAGGGTTCAGGAAGACTCCCGTGGCGCGCCGCTGGCCAACAGGGTGGATGAGGGGAGCCCGGGGGGTACAGGCCCCAGGGAAGGAGAGGGAGCCCCCTGCAAGGGAAAGGTAGCAATCAACTTTGCCCCCCTCCCCAGGCCAGTGGGGGACCCCAGTGGATGAACGCGGCTAACTAGTGGCTGGGGGCTAATGTCTGCAAATGTGGGAAATGTGGGGGCGACAGAAGCTGGGGGGGAGGAGGGAAGGGGACAGCAACTGGGGGGCTAGGACGGAAGGAATTTACAGCCTGACTCCCGGTGGTGATAACTCCCCTTGGTCCTAAAGGCCTCCCCAAGACTCAGGTTTGGTTTTGAGGTTCAGAAGAGCCCATGATGACGGGCTAATGTTCAAGTTCTGACCAGCTAAGCCTGGAATTAAGGGGAATGCAGGTGCGAAGCGCACACTCTGAGACCCTGCAGCAGAGTACCAGCCTGTTGGCTCATGGTCTGCCCATGGTAGTTAGAGCCAGAAGGAAAGTAGGGCGGTGCCTGGGGGTGGGGGTGGGGGTTATAATGATGACAAGCAAAGTAGACAGTGGGGAGCCCAAGTAGGGCTACCCACCAACAGAAACTGCATTTCCAACTTTGGATGAAGGTGAGAGAGGTTGTTGCTTTTTTCTTTTACGTTTCATAGAGAAAGGAATTTTTTTTTAAATTTTATTGTAAAGGTGATGTACAGAGGGGTTACACTTACGAATGTACGGTGATGAGTACATTTCGTGTCCACCAGTGTTACCCCCTCCCTCCTTTTCTCCCACCTCCACCCCTCACACCCCCTGAGATGTAAAGTTCATTTCCAACATGGTGTCTCATGAGTATGGCTGTTGCATTGGTTCACCTTTGTCCTTTGACTCACCCTTTTGTGATTCCACTTCCCTACCCTGAATCACATAAACATATACAAGACACAGGCTACCAGAATCAAAAACACTGACAATGGGATAAACCAAAGGGTGGGGGGAAGGAAGAAAAAAAAGAAATAACTTCACACAATGCATTTGTTTGAAAACTCCCATTCTGGGTGGCTCAATGGTAGAGTGATTCCTCTGCACAACAAAAGCAGAAAAAGCTGGAAGTGGCTGTTGTGGCTCAAGTAGTAGAGCCCTAACCTTGAGCTGAAGAGCTGAGGGACAGCGCCCAGGCCCAGACTTCAGCTCCCACAAAAACAAAACCCTCGTTTCCATTTTTTTCTTTTTTTTATTGTGAAAATACTGTACAGAGCGGTTACAATTACATGGGCAAGATAATCAGTACATTTCTTATCAAGCATTGTAGCCTCCTCCTTTGTTTCCCCTTCCCATCCCTTCCCATCCTCCCCCTGCCTTTCCCCAACCCTCCCCACTTCCCCTCCCTCCCACCAAAGTTGTGAAGTTCGTTTTTCGACATAAGGACTTGTATATCTCATTGTTGCAATGGGTCCACCTGTATCCATATTTAAACGATTTGTTTTTCTCCTTCACCTCCACAATTTATGCCGACATCAAATACAGTGAAAGCAGGCGTTATACTGTGGGGGAGGGACATACAAAGCAACAAAGAAATAATCTTATAAATGTGTTAGAAACAATTGCATGAAAGAAAAAAAACATTTGAATACATATCTTAGGGTTCTGGAGTTTATTTCCATTAGCATCATGTGTACATGGCTACTGAGCTATTGTGATCCTCTGCTAGGACTATCCTAGACATATACTAATGATTACAAATGAGGGGAAACCATGGAGTCTATGTTTCTTTGGGTCTGGCTTAGTTCACTTCATATGATTTTTTTTCCAAGTCCTTCCATTTCTTAATAATGGGGCAATATCATTCTTTCTAATGGAAGCATAGAATCCCTGTGTGTGTGTGTGCGTGGGGGCATCTGGGTTGGTTCCATATCTTGGCTATGGTAAACAATGCTGCAATGAGTAGAGTTGTGCTGGTAGCTTTAGCATGGCTTTGTGGTCATTTGAGTAAATGCCCAGGAGTGGAATTGCTGGTTCATAGGGGAGCTCTATGTTTAGGAGGAACCTCCATACTACTTTCCAGAATGGTCGAACCAGTTTACACTCCCACCAACAGTGTAGTAGTGGTCCCTTTTGGCTACATCCCTACCAGCATCTTTTATTATTTGTTTTCTTGATAATGGACATTCTTTCTGGAGTGAGGTAGAATCTCAATGTAGTTTTGATTTGCATTTCTTTTATGGCTAGAGATGTTCAACATTACTTCATGTGTCTATTGTCTATTCTTATTTCCTTTCCAGAGACTAGCCCACTTATTAATGGGATGGTTGTTTCTTTGAGGATTTGTTATTGGAAGGTTTAAATTTTTTGAGCTCCAGATATATTTTTGATATTAGACCCTTGTCTGTTTTATAGCTAGTGAACATCTCCCAATCTGTAGGCTTACTGTTTATCTTGCTAGCTATGTCCTTTACCATGCAGAATCTCTATAGTTTAATGCCATCCCATTTATCCAGCCTTTCTTTGATTTGTTGTGTTTCTGGATCTTTAGGAAGTTTCAACCTGTGCCATGGAGCCCTAATGTATCCCCTATCCCTTCCTGTAATATTTTCAGGATATCTGCTCTTTCTTCAAGGTCTTTGATCCATTTGGAGTTAAATCTGGTACTGGGTGATATATAAGGATCTAACTTCAATATTCTATACATGTATAGCCAATTCTGCCAGCACCATTTGTTGAAGAGGCTGTCTGTCTTCAATCTGATAATTTTGGCTCCCTTATCAAAGATTAGGTGGCCATAGGTCTGTAGGATCATTTCTGCACCCTCAATTCTATTCCATTGGCCCTCAGGCCTGTTCATATGCCTGCCTGAAGCTACATTTCCAACTTTGGATGAGGGTGAGAGAGGTTGTTGCTTTTTTCTTTTAGGTTTCATAGAGAAAGGATTTTTTAAAAAAAGATTTACTCTCTTTTTGAGAGTCAGAAATGATTTAGAAAAAAATCTTTACCACCCTCTTTCAACAACAGGTGGAAACCCTCCATGTGCCCAACCCTTCCAACCCTGGCTAGAGTTCTGCAGATCAAAGCTAGTTATACCTCTATGGTTATCTTTAGCTCTCTGAGGGGAAGACCCTCTCCCTAACACTGAAAAAACCCATGCTTTTACCTCAATAAGAAGGTGATCTTTGCCAGGTCTTCTCTGCTGAGATTCCCAAGGGACAGGGGTTAGAGGTGATACAGGGTTCTTCTTGTGTCACCCATCTTTACCCCTGCTTCAATTAGACATACATGGCATTTTTTCCTCCTGGATCTCCAGAACTGGAAGTCTGTGGTCTGGAACAATCAGAAAAGAGCACTGTGCATATCCTGTCATCTAGCAGAATGTCTTCAATTGGTAGAAAATATCACCTTACCTTAGTAAGGTAGCTTGCTGTTTCTGAGTCCCTTCCTGAACAGGATATTCTCTCATGTGAACTATGAGGCTATGAAAAACTGTTGGACCTATTTGAAATGGAGAATCAAAATTCTCCTTTATCAGATGAAGAAACAAGTTTATATAGCCTTGCAGAGATCTCCATCGTTACTCAATATCAAGGAGTCCGTGGAAAATTCAAGTTCCTTGCTTCTAGGGCAGGGTTGTTTTTATGTTCCAGCTTTTGGATTGATTTTAGAGGCATATTATGTTGGGCCTCACACCTTCTGGGCTACAGCCAGGGCTTGCCTTTGCCTCTAGGGTACTGTTTGAACTTTAAATTTGGCTTTTCCTAATATAGCAGGCATGCATCTTGTGGAGCACAGCATAAAACATTACCACAGGTCCCTGCTGTTTTTGTTCCCTCCAGAAACAAGAGTGGCTGGGGTTAAAGGAAGAAAACATTGTTGCCGCTGCCTCTGTGTTGAGTTCATGTGGACTAGCTCCATGACAGGTACTTTGAAAGCTTTTTGGTGGATGCTTTGAAACTCTACACCACACCTTTCCAGGGGATGAGTTGATCAGAGAACTCTGTGTATCTACAGATAGACCCCTTTATTCATTAGAGTTGGAAGAAGAGAGAGCTAGCTAGGTAGGTAGTTAGCTAAGTAGACGTTTAAACGCCCCCCCCTTTTAAAGTAGATTTACATTTCCAAGAAAACCACTAAGACTTAGTTCTTGCAATTTGTCTCACCCAATTTACCATTTAAACATTCACATTTTCTTTTTTCAGTTATGGAATGAACATACAGCTTCTCTCTCCCAGCTGAAGAGGGCCTCTCTGACCCCAATTGCTACATTTTATACTTGCACAGCTCTTTGCTTGGTCATATCCCAAGCACTGAATAAATACTTAATGGTGAATAATTATTGAAGAGAAATACAGTAAATGGAGGTATATAAAAAAACAGACATCTATGGGGGAAAAAGAAAGTGGTTTGAAAGGAAAACAAAGAAGACAATATGGTAGGTTTAACATTTGATTATTATTTTAATGATCATTTTTTCCCAAGCCATTTATTTAGCTTTCAGATAGCTATTGTCTTTTTTTTTTTTAAGCATCCCTTTCTCCCACCCTCCATCACTGGCCTTTTCAGTTTTGGTGGATCCTGTTTACCCCTGGTAAACAGAGCGACATCGCTGCTCTGTGCAGATGAAGCAGCCCAGGGAAGACACCAGGGCTCCTGATGTGTACCCGAATTGATTTTGAGTAGCAGCAGCACCCACCCTGAGGCCAGTCTCTCCCAACACAGGAACATGTGGAGAAACTCAGTTGTTACTCAGAATATGATCATAACCATTTTGTAACAATAGAGCACTGAAATAAAGATTTGCAAGGGAGTTA